ACCTCTTATAATTGTCAAATGTAGGAGTCCTCTTTCCCCACTACAGTATCCAGACTCCATTCCCCAGCCCCTCTCACAAATGTTGCTTGTACTAGCCTATTTTTTGTTGCTGTAGAATAAAACATCCGAGGCTGGAACTTTATGAAGGAAAGGGGATCGTTTAACTCACATTTGGGAGGCTAAAAGCCGCAGATCAAGCAATCTCATTTGTTTGACTTCTGGTCAAAGTTCCCTTGGTCCCATAACAAAGCCATATACAGAAAAACCCACACATACAGTTCAGTTTCTCTATAGAACAATCTATTTTGCATGAGCTAATCAGGGTCCCAAGAGAACTACATTAATCCTTCTGAGGGCAGCGCCTTCTAAAACCAAACCACTTGCCAGTGAGCTCCACCTGCTAATCTCAATCTCAATCACCGTCTCCCAATACCGTACATAGAGAGTAAAGTGTTCGGCACACAAATCTTTAGGGGGACACCCTCACATAAACCATAGCACTGCCCCCAGTACCACCTTCTCCCCTCTTCCTGCCTGTCAGCTTCCCAGTGACTCCCCAACGTGAAGGAAGATGCAAGCCTCCCTTACCACCCCAATACTGCCGCTCATCTCAGAAATTCTCTGAATGTTTCTCACCAACTTTTGGTTACACCTAGGTTTCTTTTTAAATTACTGCAAAGTGCCCATAGCACAGGACACAAGTAATAAAAACTTGTCCACCTCATCCATGTTTAGTGTGTGTGTTTCAGTGGTATACGGCAACAAGCAACACCTATCTCTGGAGCTTTTCATCTCGTACAACTGACAGGCTGCCCTCATGAACCAGTAATTCCCTGTTGCCTCTCCCTTCAAACCAGAAGCCATCCTTCTACCTTCTAGCCCAGCTTCACTACTTTAGGTACTTTGTAGAAGTGGTCCCCATTTTTCAGTTAGCTGGTTCCACTTGGCGTAATATCGTCAGAGTTTACCCACGCTGTAGCAAGTGGCGGATTTCCCTCCTCACTCCCGACTTCATATCCACCGCAAATCTTCCCCTCGAGATTTATGAACTGGGAATCCTACTCTCTGACCACATCTAAAGCTCACCTGCCCCGTGGGGGAGGAGATTCCTCATGTTCATGGGGCACTAATTGTGCCTCCTTGGCTTCGTGGAACCCCAAGCATTCTGCCTTTCGTGCAATGAAGTGCCTCTCTCATCCAGTCAAAGCCACTATAATTTCATCTAATTCCAAGGACAACCCTGCCACCAGGACTGTGAGGACCAGGTGTGGTTTACTATCTTTTCCAAGGATACAGAGAGGTTTCTCTACCCAGAATGGTGATGACTTGCATGTTACACACAGCCGATGGATGACTGGCGAGCAGGTGGCAGGGAGATGACGGCTTGCTTTCTGAGTTGAGCTCCTGGCAGCTGCTAGGTTCTCGGCACACCAGTCACTGGTGGAGAGGTCATGGGCGGGCGTGTTTGACTGTGGAATGACAGAGAAGCCCACGCAGGTTGCAAAGTGTCAAGGAAACCTCATTCAAAAGCAAAGCAATACTGCAGAATAGAAAGGAGTACTGTCAAGATGGACAGCTGGGGCCGGGCGGTGGTGGCGCACGCCTTTAATCCCAGCACTCGGGAGGCAGAGGCAGGCGGATCTCTGTGAGTTCGAGGCCAGCCTGGTCTACAGGAGCTAGTTCCAGGACAGGCTCCAAAACCACAGAGAAACCCTGTCTCGAAAAACAAAACAAAACAAAAAAAAAAAAAAAGATGGACAGCTGGCTGTGTGGAAGAATTACATCTAAGCCACGACTCTAAACTTAGCTTGTAGTTTTTCTAGAAACCCCCGTAAACCTCAGAACTCCTGAACCTAAAATTGTGTCATCCTTCTGGAAAACAGCCCTGAATTTTCTGGCTCCCCTTGAGATGAGGAAGGAGGAACTTGCCCCTGGTCTAAGGCCTCTGGCCCAGCTTTCCCCCTATATCAGGAAGGTCCTTGGGTAGCTTTAATATCTATTGCTAGAAAAGCCAGGCAACAAAATGAAGGACCGAGCAGTGAAGGCTTACGGGATCGTTGCTCTAATTTCAAAACATACTTCTCGTAATCTCCCCTTCACCAAGCTTGTTCAGGGATAGTGACACACACTCCCAGGAAGGAGGGGTCCCCTCAGGGCATTCCACACACTTTTCCTCCACAGACACAGGAGAACTTTCTCGTGCTGCACAGGACAGCCTGTTAGTAGCACAGGAAGAAGAATATGACCTGCCTGTCTTGCTCAGCAAGCAGAGCAGAGCCTGGAAGATTCTGGCTATGGGCAAAGAAAACCGGCTGATGTCAGCGTTGGTCTCTCTCTCTCTCTCTCTCTCTCTCTCTCTCTCTCTCTCTCTCTCTCTCCCCAGTCTTTCAGAGGCACCCATTAGCCTCGGAAACCACCTGGGCAAGTTTCCTTCCTGAGTGGCAGAAGGTCTCAGACTGCTCTTAGCTTCCCTGTTATTTCCCAGGCTCAGCAGGGACAAGATTAACAGAAGCCTCATTGTGGATCCTCCTGGGATCCTCCTGCAGGCGGTGTATGTGGGGGTGCACTCCATAATGCACTCAGAATGAAGAGTAAAGATTTGGCTCCCACCCCACTTACACATTCCAGACACAGAATATGGCATTTAGAACATTTGAACCGTGTTTCGTTGACTCTCCATATTGCCCTTCACACAGTGCTAAGAAATATGATTTAAGAAGTCTCAGAGTAATAGCCCAAATTAAACTCTCGTTATCTTCACGGGCTCCGACTAGAATGAGAGAATGTTGTACACACAGAGAGCAAAATAAATCTTTAAAATATGTGAGAACTGTTCCCTCCTGCCTGAGATGTAGCGTAATCTTCAAGGTCGGCTCAGACAGAGGTCCCAAGTCGCTGTTGTTGTGAGTGCCAGTCGTCTGGAACTTGGGCAGTACCCAGCCCCCAGTCACGGTGCCTTCCTCCCACATCACTGTTTGCCGGGGCGCTGTGCGTTCCAGAGAGCTGCACTCACCTTCATAAACGGGAGAATTACCTTAGACCAGCCCAGGTGTGTCAGCAAAGTTCAAGGCCTCACCAGCTCAGATGGCCAACGGCCAGGCAAGTCAGTCTTGCCTAGGCAAGGGCCTAGAGGGGGATCTGGGTATAGGATCCAGGTTTCATTTTTACTAGTGAGGTCTAGACCTTCATAGTAGTAAGGAATCTCGGAGAGTCATCCCCATGCTACACTTTCTCAACAGTCGTAATTAGAAAAATACATACTTCCTTCTTTTTTTTCTTTTCTTTTTTTGGATTTTCGAGACAGGGTTTCTTCGTAGCTTTTTGGTTCCTGTCCTGGAACTAGCTCTTGTAGACCAGGCTGGCCTCCCGAGTGCTGGGATTAAAGGCGTGCGCCACCACCGCCCGGCCATACTTCCTTCTTTAACGCTAAGTAGGGACTACAGTCTCAGAGCCCCAAGTAAAGGAAGGAAAACACCACACACACATACACTACACCACACACACACACTATACCACACACATACACACACACATACCACACAGTACACCACACACACACACACTATGTCACACACACCTTTTATCATTCTAGGTACAAAAATTTAGCATGTAAACTGTGTCGTTTTCCAGATAAATAACATATCCCTTGCCCTGCCTGGATGCAAGGGTTTCGGCTCCAGATGTGTGCAAGGTGGGGGTGCAGTAAAGAAGCTGCTGACACCACCACTCCATGGTACGGTTAAGGCTTTTTGGGTTTTTGTTTTGTATTGTTTGTTTGGTTTGGTTTTTCAAGACAGGGTTTCACTGTAGCTTTAAAGCCTGTCTTGGAACTAACTCTGTAGAAAAGGCTGACCTCAGACTCACAGAGATCCACCTGCCTCTGCCTTCTGAGTGCTGGGATTAAAAGCGTGCGCCACCACTGCCCGGCTAAGGTTAAGATTTTTACTGTAGATGTGTGAGAGAGAAAAGATCCTGAAGCATCTGGAGGAATCCAGAACAGAGAGAGGAAAAAAAGTAGAGTGAACACGGCCAGCAGACTGGCCAAGGCCAGGGCTATCTGTGAGAGAGGAGAGAATAGCAGGGGACAGAGAGGACAAATAGTGGGGGGATAGAGAGGAGAGGATAAGTAATGAGAATATCAAGTGCAGAGAACATAGAACAGAGAGAACAACCCGTTTATAAGAAGGTTGAGCAGGGAGAAGGAAGCCAAGAGCTGGAGGGAGTTCAGGACAGAGAAAGAGGTGAGACAGGCTAGGATGCTAGCTAGCGTGGACTTTGAAATGTACAGTCCTTGCAAACAGGGACTGAGGGAACCTGGAAGCTAGCATGGACCTTGATATGCTAACAGGCATCCTAGATATATGCTCATTGGCAAGCCCTATGTCCCTTTTTGCCAGAGGCAAGGGAAATGAATCTTTTGAAAGACTGTCAGAGCCAAAGTTGCATTTTAAGTTTTTATTGCTATGCCTTAGAGATCCTTGAAACAAAAACACCTCTGTACTGCAAGCCCCTGCTCAAGGACAGGGAGTTTCTGAAATGCTGGAGGCCGTTGCTTATGAGAGATAACAAGTCACATGTTGTCAGTCCCCTAAACAATCGGGTTTGACCCGTCTGCACCAGATGTGCTTGGTCACATGTGGGTGGGAGGTACATAGGCAGGATCTATGTCAGGGTATATGTTTGCCCCTGATTGGACTTGATGGGAAATGCAATGAATTGTGAGTTTTTCTTCTTAAGCCCTTGCCCTACTTGATTCTGGGTCATTTCTCAAGAATCTGGGTATGGACCTGGTCAGAGCCCGTCCACCTGGCAAGTATTTAATTAAAGCTTGCTTGAAATTTGGCTTTAAACTGTGGTAGTGGTCTTATTCTCAATCAGTGGGATTAACAAGAGGGGAATCAGCTTCACAAGTTCCTGAGGAATGCTGGCTTTTATCTGAACACCAAAAATCCTATAGTTCAGGATGAGCCCCTTTCTGGATATTTGGCCTGTCTTTTGGACTTTAAGTTATTGAAGTTTCCTTTAGACCAGACACTGCTGAAGTCCCCAAAGATGGCTTCTGTCTCAGGAGCCATAGAAGCTCCGGTCTTACTTCCACATCCCCTGGGACACACATTTGCTCAAATAGTTTCTATTCTTGCTTCATTGTTGAAAGTCAGGTGGTCAAACTGTTACTGTATTTCTGTTCCTCTTGTTGTCCGGGGGAGGAATCACACACACACGAGTTTCCTAGGGTGGAGAACACAATGGCAAATAGACTTAGGGAGTACACACAGCACCAAGATGCTCATGAGAAACAGTAGGGATGCAGTCTAACAAGACTACAGCCATCCTACATGTAACCACCACTTGGTTCACCCAGTGACCATGGTATATACCCCAAATCCTACAGGCCTATCAAAATCCTAAGATACTCAACCATGTGTGTAGGGCAACCCACCCATAGCCTGTTTCTTAACTGCCATGGAATATAAATTTTTGTTTACTTAGCATAAAAGCCTCTCTTCCTTCCTCCTGGCCCTGCTGCTGCCTAAAGCACTTTAACCTGGAGGTTCAGTGATGTAGGAGTGTCTTCTATCTATCTGTTGCTTCCATTGATTAATTAATAAAGAAAACTGCTTGGCCTGATAGGTCAGAACATAGGTATGTGGGGAAGACAGAACAGAATGCTGGGAAGAAGGGAAGTCAGGCAGATGCCATAGCTCTCCTCTCCAAGATAGACACGGGTTAGAATCTTCCCGGTAAGGCACCACTTCATGGTGCTACACACATTAATAGAAATGGGTTAATCAAGATGTGAGAATTAGCCAGTAAGAGGCTAGAGCTAATGGGCCAGTGTTTAAATGAATACAGTTTCCATGTAATTATTACTGGTAAAGCTAGCCGGGAGCCGGGCCACAGCCCACCACTCCTATTACTACAGTCCAGTACATTGTACTTTGTGCAGTTCCAGTGGTTACAGGAAGCTCACCAGAGACGACCACTCAGATACTGTGCATATAGTCAATTGGAAGTCTTTACTCCAGCTGGCTGGGCCATAGCCAATTGTTCAGGGACCTAGGTGTGGCCCTGAGTATCCAGAACACGGTATTTTTAAAGGCAGAAACCACATCCTGGCATTGTGCTCAGCAGCTGCAGGGGGCTTCGCAGAAGGAAACCGTCTGAAGCAAACGGTTTTAACAGAAGCTAAGAGGAGTGATTAGTTGGGGAGGTCCTCATAAAGAGGCAGTTTTAACAAAGGCTAAGATAGGGTAACTAGGACATCCTCCCTCTGGCTCCTAGACCAGAGTTGGTAGTTTTCCATGGGATTCTCGTCACAGAGATCAGGTTCCAATTAAACCTGGAAACATCGCCAGCAAGAATACAAGTTGGAGGAGCTGCTGTGCTGTCTTACTCCATCACAACCTCTTTCCTCTGTCACTCGGCTCCTCATGCCTTTGTGGGCTGGTTCTCAACACCAGCCCGGGGCTTGCAGTGAACAGCAGGCACAAGAGCTGTCACTTGAAGGAGAGTAAATGACCACTGTCTCACAGAGGACATTTTGTGGGGAAGAGGTAGGCTTGTAATTGGGACATTTGACTATATGTTGTGAGCACATTACAGAAACAGTCAGAGAAATAATGTGGAATAGCATAAAGAAGTCAGAGTCCCTGTTCCAGCACCTACCAGCTGTGCGGCCTTGGTTGGTTCATCTTTGGAGTGTGTGTGTGTGTGTGTGTGTGTGTGTATCATTTTTCTCATCTGCCGAATGGGAACACAATATTCACTGTAACTTCCTTACACTGGGGTTTATGAGAAAACAGTAATAAAGAAATAAAAATGCTGAATGAATTCATATGCAATTAATATGGTCATATACCCAGGAAATTTGATGAGCTGAAGCCCTCTTCAAATGAGTTCTCTTAAGATGGGAAAGAAGAAACTGACCCAAGACTGGTCACTTGTCTCTAAATCTTAAGGAAACCCAAACTCTGCAGGTCACAAAAGCCTGTGAGTAAAATGGAGAACACACATGCCATCAACACTCACACGTCATGGCTTATCTCCCCACATACTAAGGAAACAGCCCCAGACTGAGGCAGGGTAGAAATGTTGCTTGAATTATTAGGGTTAAAACCTGGACCCTGATGGCCCTAATAAGCTAGTCTGGCACTTAGTCAAGCTTTGCTCCTGGTTAAGGTGAGATAAAAAACAGGGACAAAATACTTCGTAAGTTAATGGGAGAGCAAAACAGGAAAGATATACCTTTCAGATTAAGGGTTCTGTTTGCAGTTAAGACAGTTAAGAATAAGTTCCTGAGCTGGGCAGTGATGGCACAAGAATAAGTTCCTGAGCTGGGCAGTGATGGCACATACCTTTAATCCCAGCATTTGGGAGGCAGAAGCAGATGGATCTCTGTGAGTTCAAGACCAGCCTGATCTACAGATCAAGTTCCAGGACAGCCAGGACTCCTTACAGAGAAACCATGTCTCAAAAGAAAAACTTAATAAGAAGAAGGGGGGGGGGAGAGAAGAAGGAAAGGAAGGAAGGAAGGAAGGAAGGAAAGAAGGAAGGAAGGAAGAAAAAAAGAAAGCTCCTCTTTGCCCTATGTAAAATCCATGTAAGTTAAGGTTTCTACTTCTCATTAAAAAGTTCATGTTTGAAATGGCAGCCTACAAGATGGGAAAAGGTCTTCACCAACCCCACATCAGACAGAGGACTGATCTCTTAAAAAAAAAAAAAAAGAACTCGAGAAATTGATCATCAAAAGAACAAATAATCCAATAAAAAATGGGGTAGAGACCTAAACAGAGAACTTTCAGCAGAGGAATCTAAAATGGCTGAAAGACACTTAAGGAAATGCTCAACATCCTTAGCCATCAGAGAAATGCAAATCAAAACAACTCTGAGATTCCATCTTATACCTGTAAGAATGGCCAAAATCAAAAACACAGATGACAACTTATACTGGAGAGGGTGTGGGGTAAAGGAAACACTCTTCCATTGCTGGTGGGAGTGCAAACTGGTACAGCCACTTTGGAAATCAGTATGGAGATTTTTTCAGAAAATTAGGAAACAATCTACCTCAAGACCCAACAATAGCACTTTTGGGCATATACCCCAAGGATGTTCAATCATACCACAAAAACATGTGCTCAACTATGTTCATAGCAGCATTATTTGTCATAGCCAGAACCTGGAAACAACCTAAATGCCTCTCTACCAAAGAATGGATGAAGAAGATGTGGTACATTTTCACAATAGAGTACTACACCGGGCGGCAGGGGTGGGGGGTTATAATGACATTTTGAAATTTGTGAGCAAATAGATGGATCTAAAAAACATCATATTGAGTGAGGTAACCCAGACCCAGAAATACAAATATAATATGTACTTTCTCGTAAGTAGCTTTTAGACATAAAGTGAAGAAAAACCAGCCTACAATTCACAATCCCAGAGAACCTAGACAACAAAGAGGACCCTAAGAGAGACATACATGGATCTAATCTACATGGAAAGTAGAAAAAGACAAGATCTCCTGAGTAAATAGGGAGCATGGGGATCATGGGAGAGGGTAGAAGGGGAGGGGAGAAAAGGGGAGGGAAGTGGAGAAAAATACATCGTGTAATTAAAAACAAATTTATAAAAGGAACAATACAGAAAAAAAGTTCCTGATGTCCTGCATTAAATTCTTGCAAGTTAAGGTTTCTATCTGTAATGAAGGAGAAGTTCCCATTTCTCAGATGTGAATTGCTTGCGACCCTGCTCACACGCTGTTTCTCCTTGCCTGTGCTTTCTTTCATTGCATCTTTCTAACAATGCACAACTCTCTTGCCCTGTGCACATCTTATCTCTCCTATAAATGAGATCACAAGATACCAGTAGGAGCTACTCTCTCAAATCCCAACTTAGGGTGAGGCATCCGGCTAGCCAGTCCCAGGTGCACCCCAAAATACAGTCATCTTTAATTGGACAGTAGAAGATTTGGTCTCTTCTCCTCCCGATTCTCAGGTTTAACATTAATTCATCACCCACCTCACCCCCCGCCAAAACTAGGGCCAGCCTGCCTGTCTGAGACAAACTCTGCATCAAGGACTTTTCAAAGCCCCACAGGAGACTTCCAGTTCTTAAGAGCGAGCCTTGCTGGTCTTCTTAGCACAGTTTTCTGTAGCACTGTTTAACATTAACCTTTAACATTCAGTAGATGGCAGCAGTGCGCACAGATGCTCTCTTCCCGAAACCAGTAATCCCGGGGAACTCAGCCTTCTCATCTCCAAGACCAGGGACCTCTGTATCTAAGTGAAGTAAGAGCTGTCTCCTTTCCCACCTGTAAAACTCTCCTTTGCCTGAACTGTGTTGAATGTGCCCATGGCTAGTAATGGCAAAAGCGTTCCCATCAAATACTTTTAGTCCTAAATAAATATTCATTGTCTTGGATACTTTCTTTAACTGATATTTAAATTGATTCTTTTTAAAGTGTTTGTATTAGAACTGTAGATAGCCTGAAACATCCTAATGAGGAATTTTTGCACAAAGCCCACATTCCGAGAGTAACCAAATGATTTTGCCAGGAAATCCTCACTTCGAGCTTACCCCCACACTGTCATGTGCCTCATTCCGGAGGAAATGACACCTGCCAGGAAGCCAGGATCATAAAGCATGTACAAACACGGCTGAGTCTACACTTGGTGGCGCCTCAGTCAATACATGGCTCTCGCCCCTTATAGGCATGAATTCTGCTGCAAGCATTCAGTGGTCCTCTTACGACTCCTCCCTGGCTGGCTTTCAAAGTTTCCTGCCTTCCTCACTGGACCTAATTCCTGCTCTTCACGTTAGAAAAGATGGTTCAGGCTGCCTGTCCTCAGATGTGATGATCTGAAGAAGTTCCAGTGTTGGAAATGTCTCCCCTCCATCCTGTGTCCCTGTAACCTGGCAGGGATAGAGCTTGATATGATTATGGTCATGTTGGTTGTAACTGCCATCTTGCCCACTAGGGGAATGAAGTTGAACACCTATTTCTGAGATGATCGAGGAAAACAAAAGGCTTCTATGGGTCACATACCTACCTCAGCCTCCCAAGTGTCATGAACCATGAAAACAAAAAGCAAAAACCCAATCTTCTGTTGACAAGTGTCCGATGGTAGCTTGCGGTGGTTTCTATAGAGAGAACTTCCATAATCTGGGAATTGAGACACCTGGGTTTGCAATCCAGCTCAGTCATTTCAGAACCATCCAGATGTCATTTGTTT